CAGTCCCTCTCCACAGAGCTGCTCTCCAGCAGGTCCGCCCCAGCCTGTCCTGGTGCCTGGGGTTGTTCCTCCCCAGGTGCAGGACCCTGCCCTTGCCCTTGTTGAACCTCATCAGGTTCCTCTCTGCCCAACTCTCCAGCCTGCCCAGGTCTCTCTGGATGGCAGCACAGCCTGCCCGTGTACCCACCAGAAGGCTGTGCCCCAAACCAGGTGAACGGTCACACCTCCCCAGCGCAGCCATCCCGCAGCCTGCGCGAGAGCTCCTGGGGTGTTTTTCACCCCCCGAGACGGCCGGGCACACACGGACACGTTCCCTGGGGCATGGTGGGCTCGCACAGCCACTGCAGGGGTCCGGCCGTGCCCGTGAGCAGTGGGCAGTGGTGGGTTGGCCTGAGGAGCGTGGCCAGGGCGATGGTGTGGGTGCGCCCATGGGGAAAGTGTGGGGGTCAGGGGTGTCTGGGGGTCAGGGCGGGGAGCTGTAGGGTGTCCACTGGGAGGGTGAGGGTGCCAGCAAGGTTGGGGGGGGAAGGTGTCATTGGCAGGGGGAAGGGAGATGGTGTCTGTGGCGGAAGGAGCAAGTGTCCTTGTGGGTGTCTGTCTGGAGTGGGTGCTGCTGTGGGTGTCCACGGAGCAGGGGCGTGCGTCCAAGGGGAAGGAGCAGGTGTCAGCATGGGGGTCCATGGAGAAGGAGGTTCTGAGGGTGGGTTTGGGTGCTCCTGGGGAAGGAGCGGGCCTTGGCGTGGGGTCCGTGGGGAAGGAGCAGGTGTCAGCGTAGGTGTCCGTGGAGAAGGAGTGGGTGTCAGTGTGGGTGTCCGTGGGGAAGGAGCAGGTGGAATTGTGGGTGTCCATGGGGAAGGAGTGGGTGTTGGTGTGGGGTCTATGGGGAAGGAACATGGGTGCCTGTGGGGGAAGATGTGGGAGTCCAGGTGGGGTCAGTGGAGGAGCCAAGCAGGGAAGGAGCAGTGTTTGTGGGGGTGTTGGTGGGGAAGGAGGGGTGTCCATGGGGGTGTAGGTGTGGAAGAAGAGGTGTGGAGGTGTGGAGGTCCCGGTGTGGACGGAGGGGTGTCCGTGGGGGTGTCAGTAGGAAGGAGGGGTGTCCATGGGACTGTCGGTGTGGAAGAAGCAGTGCCTATGGAGGTCCCGGTGTGGAAGAAGTGGTGTCCATGGGGGGATGTCCGTGTGGAAGGAGAGGTGTCCGTGGGGGTGTTGGTGGGGAAGGAGGGGTGTCTGTGGGGGTCCCGATGCGGAAGTAGGGGTGTCTGTGGTGGTCCCAGTGTGGACAGAGGGTTGCCCGTGTGGGTCCCGGTGTGGATGGAGGGGTGTCTGTAGGACTCCTAGTGTGGAAGGAGTGGTGTGGACGGAGGGGTGTCCGTGGGGATGTCACTGTGGAAGAAGTGGTGTCTGTGGGGGTCCTGGTGTGGAAGCAGTGGTGTGGATGGAGGGGGGGCCCCTGGAGGTCCCGGGGTGGATGGGGGGGGGTCCGGGGGGGTGTCGGG